TGAAATTACAAAAATTTGCCATTAATTATGCGAATTAGGTCCTCATTTAAATAATCTATATCCTCAGATGTTTTATCTTGTTCTCAAGTAGATGTCACAAGTGTTTCATAGTTCTATTATCGAACAAAGCAGATTTATAGAATTTCCTCATTAATTATGCAAATTAGCACCTGATTTGCATAATTGTAATCTGATTATGTCAAGCATCACTTCAACTACCTACATACTAAAGATCATGACAATCCGTCAACCGGTTCTTGAGTTATTATCCTTCGAAATTTTTTCAACAAATGCTCCTGCAGTTCCAGGACAAGCCGCTAGGGGACCCAAACTCATGTCACTTCTTCCCTACTCCAAGAACTATCTACCAACCAAAATTCGTGACCCTAGCATGTCCAGATCACGAGATATCAAAACCGGAAGTTTTGCTGCAGTACCAAGGAAAGCCGCCAGGGGGCCCAAAATCTAATCATTTCTAGGTCTCATGAAGACCTACATACCTACCAAGTTTCATTTCAATCCATTCACTGCTTCTTGAGTAATCTTGCTAAACCACAAACACACACACAAACACACACACAGACAAACGCTACTGAAAACATAACCTTCTTGGCGAAGGTAAAAAGTTGTTAAGCGTGTATTTGATATTGATGTGAATAATTTTGCTCGACAGCTTGTGACCGAAATACCCCTGTAGTTACTAGGATCATCTTTTGCCCCGCCCTTGTGTAGGGCGCGCGACAATATGACTAGTGCACCAATTCTGGGGGAAATAGCCAGAGGAAAGTAAAAGGTTGAATAGTTTGGTGAGGGGCTTAATTAGTGTGTGAGGAGATCACTTCAACATTTCGTTGAGAATTAGGTCACTACCTGAGGCTTTTCCATTCTTAAGGTTGGAGATTGCTTTACTGATCTCCTGACTTAGAATTGGGCTGTCAAGGGGGTTGTCTTTTAAATCGTTCTCTAACTGTAATAATTTCTTTTTAATTTCCATTTCGAAGCTGTCGGTTGATAATGAACCTTTGGGGATGGATTCTTTACCGTAGAGAGCTTTAAAGTGTGAATGGAGCTTTTCATCGGAGATTAGTTCTTGTGTATTCATCTTAACATTATTGGTGGCCTTTAAGTCTTTTAGAAGTGACCAAAATGACGAAGGGTTGTTATCAGAGTAAGAGTTGAGTTGTTTTAGGATATTATTTTTGAAATCCTTTTTAGTTTTGCGAATAAGTCTTATGTACATTTTTTTCTTTTTAAAATAAGAACCTCTATAAGAGATGGATTACGTGGGTCTTTGGAGAGTAGCCTACCTAAGTTTTGGAGTTCTTGTCTGGCCGATGCGCAAGTTTGGTCAAACCAACTTTTTATACTTTTATGTTTCTTGTATTGTTGTTTTCGTTTTCTTGTAATGCGTATTGACAAAGAATTTCTTCCGGCCTCTTGTGGAGGGGTTATAAAGTCTTGTAAAGCACTATTTAAGGATTCAGGCGTCAACTCGTAATTTTTATGCATAAATTGGTTAATTCTTGAGGAAACTAATGTTCAAGAGTACACTAAAGAGCAGGAGTATGTAAAGAAGCTGAGTCTCGCCGAAAGGAAAACTTATCAACACAAGATCAGCGGAAACAGTTTACAGAGGTGAGCGCTGCTTTCTTGTCTTCCATGGAGGACCACCGGAACAAGATCCCTTGTTTTAGGATATTATTACTTCATTGTTTTGTACATTTTACATTTAACTAGATACTATCGACCAATATCTGTCCTTCCCTGCGTATCTAAGGTCTTGGAAAAACTAGTATACAATCGTCTTCTGAAACATTTAAATCAAAATAACATCCTATATAAACACCAATATGGCTTCAGAAAGGGCTATTCTACTTCTCTAGCACTCATACACTTAATGGAAAAAATTTCTACCGCTATAGATAACAAAGAATACACTATTTGTCATGCTCGGCTATTGGGCCGGAAGGTATGACGTCATCACCCACAATGCAATACCAGCATGACGTCATTCTTCCGGGTCAGGCCCGGTTCCCCGTCCACGTCTGGCCTACGCTCTTCAAGCCCCCCACCCAGCAAAACCCGTCGAGGCGAGGCACCCCGGATTCAGGCGGGACTGCTCTGAAATTGATTCCGCCATAAAATGGTTCTCTTCTTATCTATCCGATAGACAGCAATACGTAACCCTTAATGATAATAAATCACAACTTAAAATAATAGAATGTGGTGTCCCACAGGGTTCGATACTAGGACCCCTACTTTTTTGATTTATATAAATGACCTCGAAAAAGCATCCTCAATTATATTCTTTATCCTATTTGCAGATGATTCAAATCTTTTTCTTTCAAACTCGAATTTTGATACGCTAGTAAACCTGGCTAACGAAGAATTGAAAAAGGTTATATCGTGTTTTGAGGCAAATGAATTATCAATGTTAAGAAGACATACTACCTTATTTTCTGTAATAGAAATAAAACCTACAATAGAAGCGCCAAAATCTTTTTAAAAAATGTGACCCTTTCTCAAGAGAGTCAAGCCAAATTCTTAGGTATAATCATTGATGAACGATTGACCTGGAAACCACATATAACTATGTTAGGTAAAAAAAATTCAAAAACTATCGGTATTATTGGAAAACTTAAACATCTTCTTACTCAACAAGAGTTCCGAGACCTCATACCTCCATGAAATATGGGCTTGATATGTAAATGTAAATTTCTTCTTTAATTATGCAAATGACCTCTGCATTAACATGATATATGCATCGTAATGTATGTTAACTGTTGATCAACTTACAGATGTCCCAAGTATGACATTCCCATCATTCACCATTAAGAAATCATAGAATTTTCGCATTAATTATGCAAATTAGATAATCATTTGCATAATTAGTATCTGTTGATGTTCCTCCTGCTATAGGTTACATACATTACATGTATGAAAGTAGTATTATGTAGAACACTGTAATTATAGAATTTCCTCATTAATTATTCAAATAAAGTCCTAATTTGCATATTTGCATTCAATTATGTACATATCTCACTCAGCTACCTACACACCAAAAATTATGAAAATATGTTGTCCCTATCTGGACTTATTGGCTTTCAAACATTTCGCCAGAAAGTGCCCTGCAGTTCCAGAACAAGCTGCTAGGTGGACCAAACTCACATCACTTATTTCTGACAGGAAAAGCAATCTGTCACCAAAACATCAAGACCATAGCATGTTCAGGACAAAAGATACAAAAACCAGAAGTTCGGCTGCAGTACCAAGGTCATCCACCAGGAGGCCCATATTTGACCTTGACCTTTGTCTTCCTAAGACTTACCAACATACCAAATATCATAATAATCCATAAAGGCGTTCTGAAGTTATGCTGACTACAAATGTGCGGAAACATACACAGACACACACACACACACACACAGACACACACACACACACACACAGACACACAGACAGACGCGCCAAAAACAATACCTCCATTTTTCATGGAGGTAATTATGGACCGCTGAATTGTGCCGACCTTACATGGTACATAAAAATACAACGTAGCTGCAAACAAAACATACAGATTCAGGACAATGACAATATGTACAACACATAAAAACCAAGAATTCCGAGACATCATACCTCCATGAAATATGGGCTTAATATGTAAATGCAAATTTCTTCTTTAATTATGCAAATTACCTCTGCATTAACATGATATATGCATCATGATGTATGTTAACTTTTGATTAAGTTACAGATGTCCCAAATATGACATTCCCATCATTCAGCATTAAGAAATCATAGAATTTTTGCATAAATTATGCAAATTAGGTCACCATAGCATGTTCAGGACAAAAGATACAAAAACCGGAAGTTCTGCTGCAGTACCAAGGTCATCCACCAGTAGGCCCATATTTGACCTTGACATTTATCTTCCTAAGACTTACCAACATACCAAATATCATCATAATCCATAAAGGCGTTCTGAAGTTATGCTGACCACAAAGTTGCGGAAACACACACAGACATACATACATACAGACAGACACACCAAAAACAATACCTCCATTTTTCATGGAGGTAAAAAACCATTATTACCATATACAATAGCTTAATATACCCATATCTAACCTACGGGAATATAGTCTGGGGATGCGCCTACAAAACCACACTACAGCCCCTAGTATTACTCCAAAAAAGATTTGTTCGTTCAGCCACCGGCGTCAGTTTCCACGCACATTCTGCACCTTTGTTTACAAAACTTAAGATTTTGAATATTTTTTATATAAACAGACTTCATCTGATGCTATTTACGTTTAAATTCCTTACTTGTTCTCTTCCAGACACATTTAACGGTCTTCTAAATCTTAATTCCCATTTTCATACTTACCAAACTCGACAAAGTGCCCATTTCCATATCCCCCTAGTTAGAACGTCCGTAGCCCAAATGAGTGTAAAATATAAATTTATAACTACTTGGAATAATCTCCCGCTCCACCTAAAATGTTTAACATCAATAATTAGCTTTAAACGAAATCTTAAAAATCACCTACTTTTCTTTCCCACCGACATTTGATATCTTATTACTTTGATTTCATCTGTATAAGTTTGAATTTCTTTTTAAAATTCATTTATTTTTTTCTTGAGTTATTGCTTCAATTCTGCCTATGTCTGTACTGCAGTTAAAGTTCTGTTAACCTATGTTTTAACATATCATTTCTAAGTAGCGTTATTTATCAATCACTTTTGTTATTCATTGTTACTATTTGTTTTGTTACCATTATCATATTGATCATATTGATCAAATTTATTAATTACTTATTGTTATTTATTATTACCATTTGATTCGTTAGCATTATTTCAGTTGTTAATTAATTTTGTCGGGGAAGATCCCAGACAAGCCACTATGGCTTCATATCTTTCCCCAGCATTTTATTGTCAGTAATACGTTCATGTTATTGTTCATAAATATATGCGAACCAATAAACAAACAAAACAATACTCACGTTGTCCCTCGCCTCCACATCAGCGCCATGTTTAATCAGCAGCTCCGCTACCCTAGGATTCGCGTTCCAGCTGGTCTGATGGAGCGCGGTTCTTCCATCCTGTGCAAACACATACAATTCTGCTGCACATTGTTGGATTCAAATAGGAGTTTGATGGGGCTGCTTAAGGACAGCAAGAGAGAGTTTTCAGATAAGGAGCAAAGGGCTTTTAAAATTGACAATTACACATTATTAGCAAAGTGCACATCACGCTATCAAACATTGTAAAGCCTAAACTTCAAAACGGCATCTTGCTTTGTCATAACTGTATTAGAGTGTTATGATAGGCCAGCTAAAGATAAATTGAATACCTATGCCTGTCAGGTCCAAACGGCTTAAAATAAAGATTATGGAATATCCTCTTAGCAGCAACAACAACAACAAATTGCCCTTAATCCTTTAATACTATACAAGAGATGATTGTCTGTACTCACGTTGTCCCTCGTTTTCACTTTAGCGCCATGTTTAATCAGCAGCTTCATTACCCCCATGTTTCCGTACTCGCTGGCCACATGGAGTGCGGTCCTGCCATCCTGTGTAAACACACGGAGAAACTAAAAAGCTGCTGCACATTGGCCGTGTCTATACGGAATCACCCAAACCGCGATTCGGGTAACTCACATTCCTCCAATCTGGTCCACGTGCCACACACACCTGCGAAACCGTGTCCGAACATAATGCGCTTGAGCTACATTTATTGCTGTTTGATGATAACACGCAAGGCGGCGTGTTATTAATGTCAGAGGTCAACGACCTGCTTGCTGATGCCCCCCTCCCAGCGTATCTCGGCCGAATGCCGACGTGGTCCCGCCAGAGGCGGTCAAGCTCGCCCTAGAACGGACAAATTTGACCATTACTGCTCTTTAAGTTGCTGCCACGTAAAAGTTGGTATTGCATATAAAAAAAGAAATATCACTCCGTAATCCATGACCAGGCGAAGTCACATTGAAATCACATTGCGTTCAGACGCAAATCGCGATGCGGGGAAACCGATTCGAAACCACCTCTAGACGTGGCTTGGGATCGAGGCGCTTTCAATGTGATTTCGGAGCGTTCAGATGGAGCCACTTGAAACCGGCTTCGGGGTAAACCACATGTAAACCGCCTTGGGTGATTCCGTTTAGACACGGCCATTGATGGATTCAAACATACCTTCAAGGACTGAAAGATATAATTTCAATTTAAGTTTTACAATTGGCAATCAAATATTTTAGAACGGTTTACCTGTAAGACTATCATCTACTGTAAAGCCCAAATTTCAAGATGCAATTACTTTGTCACTTGTATAAGATACATTGTACATTTATATAATTTTCCTACTAAACTGAACCCCTGCCGTGGTTAATGGGCCCCAAAAGGAAAGAAATCAGAGAACACATCAGGTTAGCAGATATTTCTAAACAACCATTAATTGCCCCTAAATCCTTACTACATGAGGTGACCGCCTGTACTCACGGTGAGCTTCGCCTTCACATCAGCGCCTTGTTCAATCAGCAACTCCGCTACCCCGGTCTTCCCGGTAAAGCTGGCCACATGGAGTGCGGTCAAGCCATCCTGTGTAAACACACAGAGAAACTATAAATCTGCTGCACATTGGTGTTTTAAAATAGAATCTCAAGGGCAGCATGATTGACTTTTCAATATTTAAGATGATAGTGCTTAATGTTGACAACCATATATGTTTAGCAACATTTACTTAGTACTACACAATATGGCTATTGATAATTGTAAAGCAAGAATTTAAATGTGCAATTGCTTTGCCACTTGTATATTATTTTGATTTTATTATTTATTATTTATTTATTCCTTGTTTCAGGACAAAGGCCCATATAAAAAACAGGGACAGTAACAACTGTACAAATACACAAATCACACAAAGGTTTAAAAAGTGCGGGGGGGGGGCATCGGAAGGGCAAATGTTGTTTCTCGATGCGAGAAGGTCCTTGAAGTCCTAGAGGGACAAATCAGGCAGATATCATCTGCGTACATGAGGTGGTTAACATTAACTTTGCCAAAAACAATCAACATTTGTGTTCTTTAACATCGCACTAAGGTCTGCCTTTTAAATACAGTTATCTTTAAAGTTATAATATAGCACTTTGGTACAAGTAACTGCAATAAAAGTATGATTTTCATGTGCATAATGGCCAAAGCTACAGATGTACATGTACGTTTGCACAAATCGATTGCCCGTAGTTATTAGAGAATGACCTAATAGCCTAATTAATAGCTAGTTATTCTCTAATAACTACGAGTAATTAGTAGATATCAAAATAATTACATTTGGGGCAATAAAATATGATGACGTCATCCATATGGTCCATAAAATCATATTCATAACCCTTTTGTACCCAGGTATCAATATTCAGTACAACTACAGTTCTTTCTAAATTTCTTTGTGACAAAACGATGGAAAGTTAAAATGCCAAATTAGCCAGTGAGAAAACCCTTAAGATGAAACTGCTTTTACAGTTGAGCAACGTTTACATAAAAAGAAAACAATATGGGTATTAAACATTGTAAAGCCTAAACTTAAAGGCACAGTTCCTTCGTGACTTGTATGAGATACATCCTTTTTGTAAAAAGTTCAAAACTTCCTAATAAAGTTAATCAAACCCCTGTCGTGGATATAAATGGGTCTCCAAAAGTCAAGAAATCAGATAATATTCTCAGGATTGTAGATATTTCTCAAGGCCATTAGTTTCCCCTTAATTTTAACTACATGAGATGATTGTCTGTACTTACGTTGTCCCTTGCCTCCACATCAGCGCCATGTTCAATCAGCAGCTTCACTAACCCAGTGTACCCGAGCATGCTGGCCACATGGAGTGCGCTCAAGTCAATCTGAGTAAACAGACGGAGAAATAAAAGAGCTGCTGCAAAACCGACTCTCGGGGACAGCAAGATAGAATTCTTTAAATCTACGACTATACGATGTTACAATTGATGGCGGTGAAATAGAATATGTGTGAACGAAATACAAAAATCTAAGCTTAAGGGCATAATTGTCTATGATTAGTTACTTATTCCTCCGCTTGCTGAAAAGCATGTGATGCCGACGACGAATCGCCGTATGGCGTACGAGCTGTACAGTAATCGAGATAAAAAAATGCCACCCTCCAAAACCCAAACGATCATAATGACTGCAGTTACCCATGGAGACACCAAAAACTTGTGATTGACGTCCCTCCCGGCCTGAAGACACCGCCTCACGGTCTGCACGTTTCCACTCCTCACAGCAAACACAAAGCTGTCTTCGTCCATGGCAGGTTGTTACTTCTGTAAGGTCATCACATCTGTTGTGTAAAAGTAATGAAACAAGAGTTCCACGATCTCATACCTTCGCCAAATGATGTTAACCCTTGTGGTTGACGAATTTATTCAATTTTAAACATTGATTTTGCAAATAAGAGCCTCAATTGGAAGGATTATATCAGTTGATCATATTCTCCACCCAATGACAGTCTTATCTAACAAAAAGGCTATTCTATCACTTCCTCATAAATTATGCAAATGAGGTCATAATTTGAATAAATTATCTTTATTGATGTTCACCTTCACGTAACTTCCAAATGCGGCAAGTAGCAATTACAACTATGAAATTAATACAATTTCCCTTTAATTATGCAAATTAGGTCTTAATTTACATAATCTATACCCTCAGATGTTCTTCTCGTTCTCAATTACGTCACAAGTGTTTCATAGTCCTATAATAATCGAACAAAGCAGATTTATAGAATTTCCTCGTTGATTATGCAAATTAGCTCCTGCTTTGCATAATTGTCATCTGATTATGTCAAGCATCACTTCAGCTACCTACATACCAAAAATCACGACAATCCGTAAACTGGTTCTTGAGTTATCATCCTTCGAAAATTTTTCAACAAATGCTCCTGCAGTTCCAGAACAAGCTGCTAGGGAGCCGAAACTCATGTCACTTCTTTCCTACCCCAAGAGCTACATGTATCTACCAACCAAAATTCGTGACCCTAGCATGTCCAGATCGCGAGATATCAAAACCGGAAGTTCTGCTGCAGTACCAACAAAAGCCGCCAGAGGGCCTAAAATCTAATCATGTCTATGTCTCATCAAGACCTATCCACCTACCAAGTTTGATGACAATGCATACTAAGCTTCTTGAGTTATGCTGTTCACAGACAAACAGACAAACAGACGGACAAACGCTACTGAAAACATAATTATAACCTTCTTGGCGATGGTAACTAGTACTGGCATGGAAGTATCTGTGATTATTTCACAAAGATTGTATAAAACGCGCATTCCTTTTATCCAACCGCAAAGAGTTGATTTGCTGAGATGATCGGTTTGCTGATTACCTTCGCCAAGAAGGTTATGTTTTCCAGTAGCGTTTGTCCGTCTGTTTGTCTGTCTGTCTGTGAACAGCATGACTCAAGAAGCCTTTTTTGTCAAGATAAGGCTGTCATTGGGTGGAGAATTTGATCAACTAATGAAATCATGCAAATGAGGCTCTTATTTGCGAAATCAATGATTAAAATTGTATAATTCGTCAACCGGAAGGGTTAACATCATTTGGCGAAGGTATAAGATCGTGGAACTCTTGTTTCAAATATTTTAATATCAAAATATCGCAACCATGTAGACATTATCAATTGACGATTTCATGTCAGCATCAGTTGCTATACCAAGTACAATAATGACAACATTTTCACATCATGTGAAACCAAACATGAGAAGAGTGAAATGCCTTCGTCAGTCCCCACTACACTCATACCGACGATGAATGAATACAATTCTATTGGATTTTTTCAGGCCGTCAAGACAACAACTGTTGATACCTATTACTAGTACTCATAAGCGGAATTGTTGGAGGGGGGGTCTTGAACCGTCACTGAACTACATCCAGTACTTAGATTTCTGGGGGGGTGGGGGTGATTGATGTAATCTATCAAGGCCCACGAATGCGGTTAACGTTCTTTCATCAGATGACTTGTACCCAAAAGTAGCCAATTAACGCTGATCTTGTGGCATGCGAGGGGCGAGAAGGGTAGTGTTTCATACCCATTGTCCGTCGATGACTGGCTGTTGTGTTAAATAACAGCAATATGTAACGTTATACATTACAGAGGAAATTTTTGTAGGTCTTCCTCTGGGTCCGAATTTGTCTAAAGGAAAGGAGGTTAAATCTCCTTGGCTAAAGTTTGCGCTGGCACAACATTCAACGAAATATATAAGTTGTAAGAACACCCTATTTCTGTAGTAAGTACAAAATCAAGAAGCACGAGTACAATATACATATGAGATAACAATGATAATACAAATGTGGGTTTTATCGAGTTTCACCAGCTCACTTTGGGTACCCTATTTTGAAGTACAGTGTATATATATAAGCCGTGCAGACGTCGATTGTTCATGTTGGAGCAGTTGGATCCCTCCAGTTGTCCTCAAACAGAGAATGGGCGGTTACTTTAGAATGTAAACTTGCGAAAAGTTCAAATGTAACGTTACTTCTTCTTTCTGCTGACGTCGGTGATTTGGGTTCTCACAATGTGTTAACCGCGCGTGGTTAATTATAAATGCGTATTGGACCATCTAACCGAATGCATGCCCGTAGCCAGGATTTTGAATGGGGGGGTTCTTCCCACTGCTTGAGGGGACCTCGAGCGCCGAAGGCGCGAGGTTCCTAGGGGGGTCCGAGGGCATTCTCCGGGGGCAATTTTGAAAAATGAACCTTCTAAAATGGCATTTCGTGCATTTTTGAGAGGATTTCCAAGAAAAAATCAGAGATGAATATTTACTCAATGACAAAGGGGGCAGTTTTTCTACGATCCCAGTCCATCTTTTCAAGAAATCTTGGACCTTTACATAAAAAGTGTACTAAAAAGTGGACCTTTACATAAAAAGTGGACCAAAAAGTGGACCTTTGAGCCTTGTGGGGGGTTTCTTCCGAACCCCCCGAACCCCCCGTCCCCTGGCTACGGGCATGCAATGCCTATTCAAAGAAGTTCTATTTGGATTTCTACTACTTTTGAGCAACAGACTTGAGGGGTACAGGTCTAGTAGAGACTAAAGAATCGGAATGTGGTATAAACTCACTCAGAACGACTCGATTGGGGCTCGATTTCCTTCCATGTTTGTACCCGGCTCGTCTTGGAGAGCTAGCCTGCTCTTGGTACCGGTGGGAAATGTCGGGTCAACTGGACAAATCTCAGCTGCGTCGCATCGGGACGACTTAACTTTTCCAACATGGCGGTCTGGTAAACTGGACAAGTTCCGCTTTTTACTGTAATTGAACCTGTGGGCTTTGTTGACAGGTGAAACACGAGCTTCTTGTATTCACCAGTGTACCATTCCCATAACGCATTGCGCCTAGCGCCTGGGGAGGAGGGGGGGTAAATTGTGTTTCTGTAGGGCTAAGCTATATAGACTGAAAATTCAGATCCTCAAGTTATGATCGATGCTAAACCACATAACGCTGTATACATAACATTACACACATACCTACAAAATCTATAAACATAACTTTACATTGTAATGTTATTCATGTATGTTGATTTGATTACATGGATGGCATCCTCTGGGAACCCCAAAACTGGGAAAAAAATTGGCAAAAAGTTGCCTTTCTTACGAAATCTAGAGGGTTTAACACATGACTAAACACACAGAGTAATATTTTATCGTCATGGTGAATAATAGACTCGTCATTTTCATCTTCAAATTGTTTCTTCTTTGGAATGGATTTTGGCATTTTGCGACATCGTTTTCCAATATTTTTTTCAATTCACGGCATATATTTTCTCATTTTGCAGCTACTTTGTACGATTTACAGTTAGTATGGTCGAAAACTTTTTTTTGTTGGAAACGGACGAAAATTCATGCGCGTGTGGATGTCACCCATGTAATCAAATCAACATGGCCCAATCTCCGAAATGTGCAACGCTAGGCGGCGCTTTTCTTGATCCGAATTTTCCCGCCATTCTGTGACCCCATCAGTAAAAACATCATGGCGCACATATGACGATATTTTCGACGATCCAAACATTCTGACTCGCTTTCCTGTCTACCAGGCCACCGATCACGAACTTCCCCAGTCAGAGTATGTATGCATCCTCCTCGGCTACATTTTGGTCGAGTAGATTTTGTAGAAAGCGTTGTTGTTTCGCCGTGAGCGCTAGAAAAGTGAGGAACGGTGCATGTCGTTTTGCAAAATGAAGGGGGAGGGGGGCGACGATAATACAAATGTATAAACCTTAGTTATACCAAGGAGGTTATAGGCTATACACAGCCAGCGTAAGAACGAATTGTTGTTCAAATTAGACGAGAAGACAACCGGCATTATTAAGTGTTCGCGAATGTTATATTTTTACACAGAAGTAACAAGTTAAGAGCCAAGAAAAATTATATTTGCCCTGAGTTTGTGTGTTGAATTGTGTTTTGGGCTGTGTGCCTGTGTTCTTCTGTGAATCGTGAGTATGATTTGAAATATACACAGAGCAGTGTATCCACACGACTGCTATTTTTGTCTTGGAGGGTTGCAAAGCTAGGGGGTGAAGTCTGCCATCTCTGAGGGCCTGCATGGGGGGGTTCCCAACAAAGCTCTAATGCCAGTAATGGTAAATTTTGAGAGCCAGCTGCATATTACGCTGATTTCAAATTCCAGGTAGCTACAACACATTACGTAGAATTAAGACAGCGAATTACGCTTTATGCAAAATGCGTGAATTACGCTCTACGTAAAATTAAAATGGCTAATTACGCTCTACGTAAAAGGGCATGACGGCCCCCATCCCTTAGTCTTCACTTTGCTTATGAGTGTTGTTTTGTGATATTATATTTCAGATGGAGAAGAGTGCAGTACCCCGGCCTAGTAAGGGGAGTCCTAATAAGGACAGTCCAGGCAGGAACAGTCCCCGTAAGAACCAACCTACCTGTCATTTCACTGGTCATTTAGGCCACACCAAATGACCAATTTAATTTGTTGGTTCTCTGATTTTTTCAGAAAGAAAATGAAGCGAAAGGGCGAAAAAAATAAGAATAAAAACAGGTCTGGACATCCTATTATAACCCCAAATGCTACAATAGGAGCTGTGAAGTCAACACAAAAGGCTGGGTTAATATTTAAACAATGAATTTTGAACTTTTAATCAAACCACTGCATTGATAGATGGAAAAATGTAATGAGTAGGAAAAAAAGGACCTAACTGTTTGGGACAAAATATGAGCATATTTGAGTTGATTCTGAACCGGAATTTTCTTTTTTTTTGCAAATCAGAAAAAAAATGAAGAGAAGAATCCGAGAACCAACAAATTAAATTGGTATGGCCTTAACCTCTTAAGTGTCAAGTCTAGTTAGACTGGCCCTACAAAACAAATGTATGCAGATTTACATGACACTTGGAGGGTTAATTCTTATAATTGGAACTACATGTAAGTGTTAAGCCTCTAACTGTCATGCAAATCAGCATATTGTTTTGTAGGACCAGCCTATAGCTAACTAGCCTCAACACTATGTGACTATGGGAGGGCCTGCATGGGGGTTCCGACAATGCTCTACGCTAAATTTTGAGAGCCAGCTATGTATTACGCTGATTTCAAGAAGTCTCCCTTATTGCGCTTTACGATAAATTCCGGGTAGCTACAACACATTGCATAGAATAAAATGGCAAAATGCGCCAATTATGCTCTACGTTGAATTAGAGCGGTCCATTTACGCTCTACGTAGAATTAAAACGGCCAATTACGCTCTACAGAAAAGGACATGCCCCCCCCCTCCCTTTGGGGGTTATAGTACAACTACAAGTTGTTTGGTACTTGTGTCATCTTTACGGATAGTTGTTACTTTTTTGGATGAATGTTCATGTTGCATTAAAAAATTGACAGGCTCTATAAAAATGTGTCATAAATTGAAATGTGCCATTGTGTTTGAAACAACTTTCTGAAATTTTATTTGCATGTTATAGCAAAAACAAACACAAAGTGGAAAATTTACGTAGCCAACATTATAATTGTAATTTACACGGGACAAAGGAATGTGCATTCAATGATCAATTCCACAGCTTTGCAATTGTGTGATACTTTCCTGCACCGATATGTGCAGTTTTATGGGTCATTATACCATAAACCATGGCTCAAGATACATACATTTTGTAAGTAGAAGATTACGTATAATTGTAGCAAATGGATTCTGTAGTAACTGTTGGAAAATCAGTTCATATCATCATGATGTTTGGAAATTTGCCTCTAATCTAAAGGTAAAGTGAGGATGAAGTCTCGGCCTTCTCGCCCAAAGAACAGACGCAAACTGTCACGTACATGTAAGACTAAGACTACCAGTACTAAGAGGCCTCTCAGAAAGAGAGGTAGGTCAATATAATGATGGAATGATTATTGGTTTGGAAATAGCATCTTGAGTGGTTTGGCTTCTCTGCATACCTTTTGGCTTGCATTAAAAAAATCATATGTACATGTACTGCTGCTATATGCTATGCACTGGGTTTGGTTTGCTGTGAGATTTCGCATGATAACAACTTTTTCATCTGCCGATTAAAATGACTGCTGTTTGCTCAAGCGATCTCAATCAATTGATCATTGCATTGGGAATTATCATTGCAATGCTTACTACAGGCTACAGGGAGTTGTGGATTGCCCTTACAACTACAAGGAATGGCACCAGATGACAATTTTTTAGTTTTTTGAAATGGGATGGTTGTTTTAGAATGAGTGTATTTAGACATAATGCAAAATTACACGTTTTTTGCTTCAACTTAGTTAAAGGTATTGAAAATCCTTAAAAAGAGGATGGCCCATTTGGGCTTTGTTTGCATCAAATACCCAGTAAACTACATTGAGGCTTACCACGCCCTTAGCCACTCTCTCATTGGTCGAGCCGCTAATTGCCATGCTGTAATTGGTTGAACTGGTAATTGTGATGGCAGGGATCTCCCCAGAAATTTAGGACAGAATGGAGGAGGGTGCGAAATATCGGTAAATTTGACCAAAGAACCCTGGAAAAGGGTGTAAAAACACTAGTTTTGAAAATTAACAGGGTGGAGCTGAGATAAGGACTGGGTGGAGGAGCTCCACTGCTCCATTGTTTAGGGAGGTCCCTGGATGGACAGTCAGGCCAGAAGACTGATCCCATAGCCCATCTCACATCCTTCAAAACCCAGAAATGAAAAGCCTTCAATGGAACTATTTGATTAACATGTAGTCCCTATCTCATTGGTCGAGCCGCTAATTGCCATGCTTCCATTGGTTGAACTGCTAATTGTGATTGACAGTCAGGATCGGTCTATTACTGTTCCAGGTAAGATGATCCAGCCAGCTTCCTCTTCTGTACCCTCCTCACCAACAAGGATGAAAGCATCACCACATGGTAAGGGCACATGTCTCTTCTCTTTCTTTAAAAAAGTCTAAATTTTTCATCCAAAGATTGATATTTTATACAGAAGAGTTATTATTATTTTTCATTCGCTTGTAACAATGATGTGTATAAATCATTTTAATGCTCATGTGGCAAAATTTTATGCTTTACCTCTCAGTCAGCTGTCACCATGCAGTACTAGTGTGGACAGATAGGAGGCATTCTTTCACCATGGCATTATTGCAACATGCAACCTTACAAAATTTTGTACCCTTCCACCACAGGAACCCCAAACAAGTCCCCACCCGAGACACCAACAAGAATAAAGGCCTCGCCTTCGAGAACCAAGACCTCCCCGTCTTACTCAGAGAAGAAGCAGAGACATTCGACTCCGCAGATAACCCCCAAGAGAGAAAAAGTTCCTTACAACGTGACTCCCAACTGTAGCAGCGGCTTTGAGATGTCTCCTCGGAAAGACTACGTGGTGGGGCAAGATGTCTTAGCCAGGTGGACGGACGGGCTTTTTTACCTGGGGACCGTCAAAAAGGTGAGTTACAACAATGACTATCTGTATCTGTATCTGTATAGCCGGGATAACCACCTTTCGGCATAACACACTAGCTTCGCAGGCACGTGGCGTGGCAGCAGCTGGCTACATTACACCGATTGACTTGTTACATCTAACCCTTGAACATCTAACTCTAGGCATTGTTTAAAGCTATCTAATGACAATGCCCCTACTGTACTTGGTGACAGCGAGTTCCACTGGTACTTGAAGGCATGGCTATTTCTTGTTCTCTTCTGGGCTGGTATTAGGTACTTGGTATTAGGTAATTGGGACGTCCACTAGTTTATTAGTCATTTTGTACATCATGCATAGTCTGGACTGCTGACAATATTTCTGATTTGTACTGCACCTAGGTGTTGCTGCGGCAATATTACAACTGTTGAATAATCAACCTTCTTATACATATAGTCTGAAAGTCTTTCCAACCAGATGAAACTATTCTATGTACTGATCTGTTGTTATTGTTGTTGTTGTTTACTCAGGTTGATGAGAAGTTAGGACGATGTTATATCCTATTTGAGGACCAGTCTTCCTTCTGGGTCATGTTTAAGGACATGATGGGGAGTAAGTAAAGACTGTCAAACTATGTATTTCCTTTCATAGGAGATATCAAAAAGCATTTTACTGTGTTTTCAGCATCAGACTATACTGATGTGATTTAATGGATGATATCCCCTGGACACCCCAAAGAGTGTGCAAAAAGAAGTAAAAGCCAAGCAAAGAAAAAGTTCTTTTATTTTTGTTCTTTCACATCTTCTTTTGACTTTGGAGTGGTAGTTCGAGCCCCACTTTCCTTCCTATGGCATCATCTTATTTTTACTGTTACCTTCTTTCATCCTACAAGTACTTAAAAGACATATTTTTAAATGTCAGTGGTTCATATGAGCCTTGTTTTTAGGCGTAAGTTTTAGTAAATAAAAAAAAAATTGTGGAAGCGGACATAAATTGATGCTTGCACAGATGTCATCTGTATAATCAAGTCAGTATGGCCTTATTTTATAATTGCGCTCTTACGCTGAGAACGCAAAGAACCTGTACCATTAAATGATATACTCCTGAATGCTGATTTAGGGTATTGTTCCCTTTTTCCAGGTCCCAACTACAACACAGAATTGACATGTACACTGTGTAGTGACGGCACCTCAGAGGAACCCAACCAGATAGTCATCTGTGACAGATGTGGGCAAGGTATGGATGAATTCTTCAATCCAAACTCAGTCTGTGCCATTTTACATTGCACAAAGACTGTCATGCTGTTAAAATCAATGAATATGGCATGTTCGTCAAGATTTCTTGCCAGTAATATCATCTAAAAATATTTTTTGCCACACACTTGAAAATATAGTGTTTGTCATAATTATAAGCAAAGATTGGGCCATGTGCGGGCCCAAATAAGGGCAGTTGCGGACATTGGACAAGTGATCAGCCTAGACAAGTCCCTTGTCCAGGAGTGCCAGAGTATACAGTGCAGTTTTACGGACTACAGTGCAATATTATGGAATACAGTGCAATTTAACGGAATACAGTACACTACACTGTATTCCGTAAAATTGCACTGTATACTAATACCATTGTACTGTATTCCGTAAAAATTGCTCTGTATTCCGTAAAATTGCACTGTATTCCATAAAATTGCACTGTATACTCTGGTACCCCTGTTGTCTATGGGGCAAAAAGTGGTTGTTATGGCCAGATGGCCGGCTTATAGATGTGGTTGTTTGGGCAAGTTTGACTGTAGTAAGTATCACAGTTTGAGATCTATTGTTTAGAGTCCCAACTTGAGATGCTATCCGTTGTTCCATGAAGTGTTTGGCTGTTCCAGGTTACCATCAGCTCTGTCACCAGCCCCCTATCCTGGACAGTGTGTTAGAACCAGAGGTGCAGTGGTTATGTAGACAGTGTATCTTTGCCAACTCTGTTAAGGTTAGTTTCAATGTGGCAAAGCTATTTTTCAACTTTATTAGAGCTCCAAATCCTTTTTTCTGTAAATGGTACAAACAATGTTACAATGTTTATTGTTAATTTCTGTGATCTATACTTTAACATTTGTTCAGTTTATTGTTCATCTTGACAAACTACTCTAAGCTTTGGTATACTCTTTGTTACTTTCTTACAGAGAGGAGGCGCCCTGAAGAAAGGCCCAAATGGTGAGTTGGACAGCACTTCTCTCAGCTGCAGGTGCAGCAGCCCCACCTTGCAGTTTTTGTGATTATTGCAACATTCAAATTTATACTTCTGCCATCAGACATGTTTTACCAAATATGTGAAATTTGCAAACTGCTAGTATAATAAGATGTCTGTGAATACTTAAATATTTTTAAGCAGATACTTAAGCTGTAATTAGATGGTCCTGTATTGATGTTAGAATGGGATTGGGGAAACTTTTGATAGAAACCTTTTAAAAATGTATATCATGTTAACCAGTTGATTTTGCTCTCTTGCAGCTAAAGCCCTTCAACAGATGAAATTGGCACTTCCATATGAAGTAAGGACTTTCACAACTACAGTATCCTACTTTTATTTCCGTAGCATACAAATGTTCTTAGATTAATAAAGGCATTTCATGTGTACATAGATCAATATAGACATTTCTGTTCAACTCAGTTGCATACAAAAAAAATTTACTTCCTTGATGGGTTAGGCTAGGAGTTGGAAGAATTGGGTGGGCAGAGATTGGGTTTCAGTTGATTGACAAGGTAGTGGCCTGACATGCCCATGGTTGTAGCATGTGGTATGAGGTCACCATGAATATGTACTGTGTAAATATGTAATCATGGTATGAAACATAAACCTTGGTGTGATATCGGATCCGGAGTGAATTACATCATAATTCATATGATTGCTTGAATAATAATCCAAATATGATCATACAGTTCAGGCAAAACATCAGATTCTGTCTTTACAGTCCAAATATTTTTATTCTAACCCAAAACATGTGAGTGGTTCGTATGAGCCTTGTTTTGAGGTAAAAATTACTGATACCCGAAACCCTTTCCAGAAGTCTGAAATCTTCCTTTTCCTGTTTTGAAATGGTTGCTTTGTTTGCTTTTTAATAAGTGTTCCTAACCTGTAGCTGTTCCTTCGTACCAGACATCCCCAGGCTGCCATGCTCTGTCCCCTATTAACCTGTACACAGCTCTGTTATCTCAGATGAATATGACATCACAGGCAGGTCTTTCTTGTTGATGTGGTTATGTTTAGGGCTGCGTACCCATGCCCAGTACTGATACAGTGCTTTGAAAACCTCTGTCACACATTCAGGACCTTCGATTTGATTTGATTTATTTAGATTGTAACAATACAATGCACGTGGAACAAAAGCAGCTGTTGCAGGTGTTGTGTCCCACACAAAGAACAAATACAGAACAGACAATACTCATTTTCACCTGAGCGAAGTGAGGAAAGTCGTGTTAAGTGCCTTTCCCAAGGGCACAAGATCGGTGGCATGTCAGGATTCGAACCCAGGACCTCTTGGATCCGAGTTGAGCACTTTGCCAATACGCCACACGACCCCACAACTTTCATACATTTGTACTACAACTTTGCTTCTGACCCAGTGTTAGAAATACCCATCTGCAGTCTGCATGTTGCATAGGCATTTTCAATTTTGCAAAAGAAAAATTAAGCAACCTGCAATTTTGCAGACTTAAGAAATAAGGCTAGGGGGTCAATACTGTTGACATTTTTTTTTGTGTTTACTACTGACTCTATACTGTAATACTGTCTCTCTTGGCTTGGCTTCGTTGTCCGAAGATTTAATACTGTACTGTACTACAAAATGTACATACATTGTACTAACCTCCAATTTTGTATAATAAATTATGCGCATGTATATGTACTTGAGGTACGCAGCCCTTGTTTTGTTGGTTCCAGTTTTCAGTTCCAGTTTTTTGCAAAACTGACATTATAACAGTTTCAGTTTGTTTCAAATTAACCATCCTTGTTATTAATCTAACATTGAGCCTCACCAACTTAATTTCTTGGTTCTTGGATTGTCCAGCCTAAGTTTTTTCTGTTTTGAAATGAAAAAAAAATACATGTACCATGTTCTGAATCGACCCCAAAATATTGGCACCAGAAAGTTGAAGAAAGTCCTTGTCTTCTTACTTGTTTTAGTTTCTTACAAATCACATTGGTGTGGCTCACACATGTTCAGTACCCCCACTACTTACCCTTTGATAATGAACACCTAGATTGAGTACTAGTAATACTCATGGCTGTTGTTTTGTTGCGGATGTTGAAATTTTCCTCTTGTCCACCAGTTGTCTTCCCTGTCGTGGGATTCCGCTCATCGGACCAACAAGCAGGAGTGTTACTGCTACTGTGGCGGTCCAGGAGAGTGAGTACTACTAAGTCTTACTATATTGAGAATAGTGCTATGTACCGGTTCGCTGGACCGGTGCCAGACTTGTAAAAATGTTTAGGTTCAAGTCCAAAATAACCTAAAAGTCATGAACCGATTCCAGACTTATTATAAAAAATGTCACTTACCCCTTTTCGTTCCAAAACTCCTAAAATCTTCCATATATTGCAAATTCTGTGCTGCAAAATGAAGAAAACATTGCTATTGGGCATCATCAAGTGTCGGTCTCCACGTTACCGGGTATGTGGCCACAGTTTTGCCCAGGCAACATTGCAAGGTTGCCAACGCATATTTGCATGCAAATTTTGATATAAAAATTATTTACATGCAATTTTGTCTATGCCATGGGTCATCATCGTCTGTAAAAATCCTTTGATGAAATGACAACTGGGAATGATTACAAAATAAAACATTTAAAGTCACGACAGATATCTTGGGAAATAGTCTGGTGCCAGGTTCTGCTTTAAAGTTGACATGGTGTGTTTGTTATTGTCTCCTCAGTTGGTTCCTAAAGATGCTGCAGTGTTCCAGATGTAAACAGTGGTTTCATGAAGGTAAGAAGTGAAGACCTTTTTTATGTGCATCTTAAAGATAAAGATTCCAAATTCTCCTAGGGGAGATAGGGATTCCAATCTCCCCTAGGAGGATTCCGGATTCCCCTGGATTCCAATCTCCCCTGTCACATATGTCAGTAGTTGCAGAGTTTAACTTTATTCCAACACCTTACATTTTCAGTTGATCTTCTGAAAGATTAGCTTTGTCCTAACTTTTGACCAAAAAGTTCCTTTCTTTTGTTGGAGCAAAGTTTAAACTCTGCCAACACAGATGAGCTTTCATTCAAATAGTATTATGTACAGTTGTATGTACTACATAACGCTACACAGTTTAACCGGAATGTTTGTTTATTTGTTTGTTTGTTTGTTTGTTTGTTCTTTAGCGTGTGTGCAGTGCCTTGAGAAGCCCATGCTGTATGGAGACAGGTTTTACCTGTTTGTGTGCTCCGTGTGCAACGCTGGACCGGAGTACCTCCAGCGCATGGAGATGAAATGGTGAGTCCGTCACTTATACAATGTATAATTTTTTGCAGAGGCCAAAAAACAGTTTTACGCTTAGGCCACGTTGATTCAATTACATGGATGACATCCTCTGGGAATCCCAAAACTGATGCGAGCGTGCGAATGAAAAAAAGTTTGGCCCCCAAAAAGTTGCTTTCAATATGAAATCTACACGGTCATGAAGGTTGAACAAATGACCCGACAGTATGGTATGGCGAAAAATCTACTCTTCATTTCATTTCTTTACATTTTTGTCTTTTTCGTTTGATTTTGACATTCTATGACATTGGTATCGTTGTCCAATATTTTTTTTTTGCAAGTTACGGCATATATTTCCTCATTTTGTAACTGTTTTGTACGATTTACAGTATGGTTGAAAACTTTTTTTTGTTGGAAACGGCCGAAAATTCATGCACGCGTGGATGTCATCCATATAATCAAATCAACATGCCCTTCCTGGGTTAAACACAAGGATGCAGAGACTAATTCTGAGGAGAATATTCCAGGATGTAAGGCAGCGAGCTCTGCGTATCCTTCCGCAAATCTATCTCAGGCCTGATCTATCCATGTGTGGGGCCATATTATCTTGGCTAATCAGAGCGCATTACGTTTTCAAGACTGAAGCCCATCTGGAATGAATTTTGGCCTAGGACCTGCTTCCTTTGATCATAATGTAGCGGCATGATCTACTGGTTAGCGACCCTACTCCTGGAGCAAGGGGTTGGGAGTTCGAATCCCGGCTGCTGTTGCTCACCTATACTGCTCAACTTTTTTGAGTCAGTAGTGGCAGTAGTTTGTTGATCCACTGTGTCGTGGGCACGGTATGTGGGTAGAGCCCATCCCTCTCCTTCCACTGCCTTTTAACTCCTCAACTGAAGTCAGGTACCCATTTTACATGCGGGTGGAGTGAGGAAAGTCGTGTAAAGTGCCTTTCCCAAGGACACAATGTCTGGCCAGGAATGCCTGGGATCAAACCCACGACCGCTTGATCTCGTTGTCTAGACACTTTGCAATTTCATGTCAGTACGAGATGACTGAAGAAAAATCTAGGGCTTTGGTAGCGACACAGTTACTGTAGTGCTTCTCATCTTCCCATATTTTTGGCGACGTCTCAGGGAGGAGCCTAATGGTACAGTATTGTGTGCAGTCTGCAAGAATTCTAGGAATGGTACAGGCATTTTGTACACAGGCATGCGGAATGTCCACAGGCATTTCTCTGGCTCACATCTCTGCCCACATTCCTGGAACCTTTGGGAACCTCTGTAAAAATGAAAGCGTCCCGGATGCTCTGGACGCCGTCCCTTGCCATCCGAACCCGCCCTGACCCATCCCAGACCGTCCCCCCGTCCCAATGTACGTTCAGGCCGTCCAAACATTGACGCTTCGGGCGCCTGGACCCCGTCCCAGAAACCAGGGATGCCTGACCGTCCCTCCCAACCCGGTCCATGGCCCGTCCGGCGAAGGCCTGGGCGCCTTACATAAGCCGTAATTAATTGATGTCAGGCGATGGAAGCGGGTGCCGGGCGCGCACGGCGGGGTTTCGGTCCTTGCACATGCGCACAATTTACTTACAAACGACCGTTAACGGTTCAGAGAACAGTGTTCAGTTCGTGTCCAGGTTTTTGTGCCTATTTCTTCCATTTGCACGCACGCACGATTGGGGGATGGATCCACTACTCAGCAGCGGCGCTTCTTCCCCCGAACATCGTACAAAGTTAATAGTTTATCAAACGAGGACCGTTCCCGATGAAGAATGGATATTCGTGGCGGGGCAACAGATACAGAACAGCAGTAGAAAAATAACGATTGTGATGTCGACAAACGAGTTTATCTTTCGGTTTTTCTGTTGCTCAGGACAGGTAAGTGAACAAACATTTTATGTGGTCATATGTTACGATGTGAAAAAGAACAAAAATTATGTCAACGATGTCGCCACGTGCACCCTCCCAACACGTTTCCAGCACGCTTCTGGAAATTATTTTGATTCCGTAAAATAAATAGACTCGCCACAAGATTGTAGAATACATGTATACAATACCTGATGTTTTAATAAAGAAAGATGATGCCGTGAAAATCCCCAGTGTCGGGCACTGAACTGTCGTCGTCTGTTGTTTATGTTTTGAATGCGTGGCGGGGCTGCCCTCCCCACACGCAAATGAAACTGGTGTTTGATTATGTCAGAATTTATCAACGCACTACAAAATGCACGTATATGGTAATGTATACGGTGTGTAAATAAAATTATTGTTATTTTAGAATGTACAGTTAAATTATATCTTAGACAACAGATAACATGAAATATTTTGCACGTACCGTTTATGTTTGTCTGTGGTCGTCACATGACTAATCTGGGGCAAAGGTCGATGAACCTTGCTGCGTCGATATCAAGAAAGTAGTACACTTTGTGGAGAATATTACAAGTAAAAAACGACGAAAATTGTTCAATTTACGTTAGATAAGAGTTTGAGAACCTTATATATACATGTAATAGCTATAGCGGCCTGTAACCAGACCACACGCAAAAATGTGTGTATCCATACCAGATTTAGTTTATTTATCTAAGCCAATCCGTGACGGGACGCCGTCCAGAGCCCATTTGCGCTGTCGAAAAACCCGTCCGTAAAAGCGCCCGTGCCCGTCCCAGAGCCCGCCCAGCCCCGTCCCGGAGGCCATCCGCCCGTCCCAGAGGACGTCCGTACCGTCCCAGAAGCCACCCGAACCCGTCCCAAAAGCCACCCATAACCCGTCCCAGACCCCGTCCCTGACCCCGTCCGGGTGCCCATCCCGGTCCCCGTCCCTGAGCCCATCCCGGACCCCGTCCCCGACGTCGTCCCGGACGCCGGGATGGGCGTCCAAGCGGCCATTTTGGACCATCCGGACCATCCCCGGTCGTCCAGGCCAGGTTTTTTTAGGCGCCCATGGGCCACAAAGGCCGCCCCGGATGGGCATCCGTCCCCGAAAGGATGCCATCCTGGATGGGCGTCCGGACCGTCCGGGACGCCTAAATTTTCACAGAGGCAGACCTGTCTGCCCCGGATGGCCCTACTTTCTGTGACTCCGGGGCTCGTTCACTATCAGGGGGGGGAGTGGGAGTACACTGTATCTTTCTAGACTGAACAGATACCGAGCCTTCCTCAAAATCATGAAATGATGGCAGTGCCATGCAAACAATAACCCTAACAGCAACCACCGTCGCCATGGCAATGTATGTTTTCATTGCCAGCCTTGTTTTACAAACAAAATAAACAAACAAGAAAGGTAGTACAGGAAAAAGGAGGTCGCAAGGGAATAATTTCTCTACCCATTGATGGTTTATTTCTTTGTTTTAATTCCACATGACATCCAATTTAATGTTTCTACAGCATACAGCAGTTCCAACATAGGAACATTGTTCCAACCTTCTGACCTGGCTTGTGATTTCTAATTTAGACACACAAAACTGCAGCAGTTGCTATATTATCATTATTATAATTATTAAGCTGTAAGATAAAGTTTAGTTTTGACACCTTTGCACAGTACGTTATGTATTACTATTAGTAATACTTTTGCAGACTTTGAATTATTTCATCCGTATATACATGTAGGGTGGTGGATCATTATGAAGTCAAGGATAATTTGTCGAATGGTTTGTGAAACAAATTTTCGCCATATAGTTTGACATTGAGTTTTGAATTGCTCAATAGTATGTACTATATAGGAATAGGTTTGTTCTAAGCACTTGGGTATATTTATTTGTACATACGGTTCGTATACCATTGTCACAAATGCAGGGTAATGCAGTAACTATAATGTTACAATGCTAACACTCTTTTTCTTACCGTGACTAAATCTTTGTTTACAAGGCATTTTCATGTTCGCTGTACATTCATCTGTATTGCTAGTTTTTTCTTGAATAGCATACATACAAATTCATTATACTTTATGCATATGACAGATCTCTTCACAGGCCCACATAGTTCAGACATATCCGTACATATGCAACTGTACAAAACATTAGGTACAGGAGAAGTAAAAGAAAGTATCTGACTTAAGTTTGTAGATATTATTGGTTGATAGACACTTTTTAAAAGCTTTTAAGTTTCTTTTTGCCCTGGTATTTTCCTTTGCCAGAGTTATTGTGTATCCATCCATCGGTGGGATCCGGAGGAAGGTAAACCATAAAGGCTTACATGTACAGTGTAGTTAGTACATTATATTGTACAAGTCCATTTTTAACCATGCTAGCAAACTGCACCTAGTGAATGGTGTCATATATAACCTATGGAGAAAATGAAAGTCAAGAGTGCGCTTTTGCAAACAGGAATTCTCGCTCTTATTATCTAGTCTTTTATATGACATTGTGGAGGGCATTTAAAGCATCATTCATTTACATGTACGCCTAGTTCTTCGGTTCATGTTCTTGCCATTGCAGAATTTAGTTACCAATTGTTCACTATCACAAAGAAACTGTTACACAAGCAGGTGGATAGATTTAAAGAACTGTCAGACGTTTCAACTAGCATCCACTTCTTTTTGTCAGTGACTAATTTGTAATTGCCCACTATTGTTTGGCCTGTCCTTATCTGTATCTGTATAGCCGGTATGACCGCCCTTCGGCGTAACACACCAGCTTATGTACATGGAATAGACATTTTCATGTAAATTTTCCCCTTTTCCACAGTTCCTCTAGCCAGATTAAGTCGCTTTACAGTTGGCTGCCTGCCCAACATCCAGCCAGTCCATCTAAGCCGTTGATGGCAGAATTTGTGTTTCGCAGATTATCATTCACCCCAGTGTCTGAGAATCATTTTACACAGGAGAAGGCTCAGGACTTGAGGCAAATTCTTCATTTTCNCGTCACTGTAACTTCCGACACTCCAGGTGTCCAAAGTTGTCTGAAGTTGAAGATGATTGAAAGCAAAAAAGTTCCAGTTTTGACATTTAATAAACATTTTCAATGTTGCATTTAACGTATTGTAGGTTGTAGGTTTTGCTGGAGTCATGTTAGACGAACTAATATTTTTTTATATTATTTTATATTTTCTCGGAATCCGTAATCTGGGTGTCGTCAGGCGTTTATTGTTTATTCCTGGTGGGGTGCCTAACGCGTCTGCAATCATCACGTGGGGACGATCGCCACCAAGACCATAATTATAATGAAAAACTGACGTAACTTTATCATTAACCTGAAGATTTGTTGGGTTCAGTTTACCCGACGACGTCTGCGCACGTTGTCCTTGATGATCCATAGACTGGCTACTATGCTGGTTAGTTTACGTCCGCTCCGATAGTAGCGACTATGATCAAACCGCCAGGTAAATGTTTTAAATTACAAGTGACACCGTTTAGAACACACTCCACGGTTCGAATTACAAGTGACACACTTATAGAATCACATTCGAATTACCGGCCAGTTCGAATTACAACGTAAATGACGCCAGATGTTGACATCTCAAACGTGCCTTTCGCGCGTAGAAGTCATGTTACAAGTTAATGGATATATTTTCAAGTAGATATTCGTGATCTGGGACTAGTGCGGCGCTTGCTTACTCTTTACGAGAAGATTGATTTCAACAGGAGCGCCAACCACATCCACCATAGTATCATGGTTTCATGGTGTGCCCAAAGTGAACTGTCGTGAAAACACGACACTCCTAACTTCGTACACTCACACGGCCCTACGTACCAAGTTATTTCGCTTACCGTGTGACGTGACTTGATTTTAACTTCATACCATTCACCCTGATACTCCGGGAGAGTGTCTAAACTTAGGATGACGTCATAACTTCGGACAACTTCGGACAACTTCCGACACCTCCCGGGAGACTGTCTAAAGTTAGGATGACGTCATAACTTCGGACAACTTCCGACAACTTCTGCCACCTCCTGGGAGACTGTCTAAAGTTAGGATAACGTCATAACATAACTTCGGACAAATTCGGATGCGTCCGATAGCAGGCCGACAGGAGAGTCAAAATACGGAAAAGCACGAAGTTACATATGACGTAAGCTGATGTTAACTTCTGACAACTTCTGCCATTTCACCCTGATACTGGACATGTATGACTGTCTAAGCATCATTTCACACAGAAGGCTCAGGACTCGAGGCAAATTCTTCAGTTTTGCAGATTATAATTCGCTGTACTGTCTAAGCATCGTTTCACACAGGAGTAGGTTCAGGACTCGAGGCCTTCTCTTTTCTAATGGCTTTCCACCTTGTGAACATCTCCTTGTACGCGGCTTGAAGCTGCGAGTTCATGAACCCGTAGATGACGGCGTTCAGCCCGCTCTCGACCAGCGCCAGCCACACCGTGACCACGTGGACCCACCCCTCCACGTGCCGGTACGTCGCCACCAGCATACCGACCGCGTACGGTCCCCAGCAGGTCACGAAGACGATCAGAGCGGCAAGCAGCTTCTTGCCGAGACGCTGCTTGTCGGCCTGGTTGGACGACATGCTGGATACGCTGCTACGACGCTGGTTGATGCGGTCTTGCGTACGGTGGACTGTCCAGAACAGCTGGATGTAGCACTTGGCGGTGACGGCGAGCGGGATGATGGTACCGGCCACCACGATGAAGATGGTGTACGGGACGGCGCCCTTGGAGTCAAACGTGCACATGAAGATCTCAGGCTTGTACTTGATGGCACCCCAACCTGGAACAAGATTTTAAAAACTTTGAGCAAATTATTAAATAAACTTTAAACACTATATTGATTTGACTACTTACGATTTTAGAGACCATATGGATGACGTCATCATATTTTATTGCCCTTTTTATTAATTTCTTTAGAGAGAAAATGCAACACTTTGGTAATATACATTTAGGTAAAAAGGACACGGTCATGTTGAAGTTTGGGGTTTTTCAAAGGTTAGTGTTGAAATATATGCTTACTGCACGTCATGTACAATGTAGTAATAAATGGATTTTCAAGTAGATAGCAGTTTGTTGGAAAAGAAAATATGAGTTAATGCCATATGAGTTATGGTCTTTAACATTAATTATTGTAAAAGGACATCATACTTAAGTTTGTGGTTTTCAATGTGAATTGGTGAAATTTATGGTTAATAAATGGGTTTTGAAGTATAGTTAGCAGTAAAATTGTCTAAGAAAGGCTCAGAAAAGACTTTGTTCAACTTGAAAAAGTTTACTGCCATACATGTACATCTGTATGAGTTATCGCCTTTCTTTCAAAACCTAATCCCAGAAAATAAGCTGAAGCATGTGGAAAATGACGTTGGACTTTTCTGTAAGTCCTACGGAAATGTCAGGAAAATTATGTCACCACGTCAGCGAAAACCGTGCTTAAGAAAGACCGAAGACTGCGCCATAATTTCTTGAGAAGAGGGACTCCCTTAATTTCCTTCTCCCAGGCAATAGAATAATGCAGGTTTTACTTTGAATAAAGAAGAATATCCCTGTAGTCTTCTACAGTGTCCACTGGTATGTTAACTGCAGACTCGTGCCCCATTTATTGTATTTACGGGTACGCATGAAGGATTTATCATAGTTTTTGTGGCAGTTTTACACAGTTTTGTAATCGTAAAAGTTGGCTAGGTGCAGCAGTTTGCATTCATACCCATCTAATACTGTCCTTGGGGGATCAGTGCTATGGCTGGTAGTTATCATCATGTAACTTTGCTGCTCTTTCAGAAGTTAGCAGTCACGGAAGAACTTTCAGAGATAAAAAAAAGTTCTGAATGTCAAAGAGAAGAAAAACTGTGTGTATAAGTCTGTTGTACCTAGGACAGAAGTATTGTTTTGGGCAGGTCTAGGAGGTTTGTATGTATCATGATTAGGGAGAATTGAAAGTGAGTGGGTAGAGATTGTATTTCAGTTGATTGACTGATTTATCGTATTTACGGGTCCACATGAAGAATTTATCATAGTTTTTGTGGCAGTTTTACGGAGTTTTGTAATCGTAAAAGTTGCCTAGGTGCAGCAGTTTGCTTTCATACCCAACTAATACTGTCCTTGGGGGGATCAGTGCTATGGCCGGTAGTTATCATCATGTAACTTTGCTGCTCTTTCAGAAGTTAGCAGTCACGGAAGAACTTTCAGAGATAAAAAAAGTTCTGAATGTCAAAGAGAAGAAAAACTGTGCGCTTTACAGTTTGTTGTACCTGGAACAGAAGTATTGTTTTGGGATGGTTTAGGAGGTTTGTATGTATCATGATTAGCTATAGGGAGAATTGAAAGTGAGTGGGTAGAGATTGTATTTCAGTTGATTGACTGATTTATTGTATTTACGGGTCCACGGGAAGTATTTATCATAGTTTTTGTGGCAGTTTTACACAGTTCTGTAATCGTAAAAGTTGCCTAGGTGCAGCAGTTTGCATTCATACCCAGCTAATACTGTCCTTGGGGGATCAGTGCTATGGCCGGTAGTTATCATCATGTAACTTTGCTGCTCTTTCAGAAGTTAGCAGTCACCGAAGAACTTTCAGAGATAAAAAAAAGTTCTGAATGTCAAAGAGAAGAAAAACTGAGTGCACAAGTCTGCTTTGCAGTTTGTTGTACCTGGGACAGAAGTATTGTTTGGGCTGGTTTAGGAGGTTTGTATGTATCATGATTAGGGAGGATTGAAAGTGAGTGGGTAGAGATTGTATTTCAGTTGATTGACAGGGTTGTGAGATGGGGTATGAGGTTGCCAGGAATGTGCACTGCTTACTCATGGGATGAAACATAAACCATGGTGTAATACTAGTGTTTTATTAATATCATAGTAATCTGCTCAATGGTATAATTCAATTGGGAATTTCTCAATGATAATACAATACTCTCCAATACAGTTTCATTCACATACTGTATATGCACTTCCCAGAAGTCTAAAATCTCTGATAAAGAGGATATAAATTGTGGACTAATTTCTTTGCCAGTTATTTTCAAATTAGTATTAAATTATCATTTGCCATATCTCCCTCAATGCTTACTCTCCAGGCTAGAGACAGGTTTACATTTTGTAATGTTGCAAGATCTTGCTATAGTAACCGTTACGAAATATATTAAATTCTCGGCTTAATCTACTTCTAATCTATTCACTTTTGACAGTTTATGATCTACTTTGGAGGCTTGTTTCGTCATGCAGGCCTGTTTGAGTGATCGGTGTATTAAGTTATGACATCAGAACGTTGCGTAAAGTGGTTGGATTATGACATGGGATTTAGACGCAATATTGTTACGATCGGCAGGCAGATGTCTGTGTGGTTGACCTTCAAATCACTTTGGATTATGACAGTATTTTTGGAACCCACGTCATGAGTTGCCATTAGTACATACTGTATGCTGGATTACAGTGTAAGTAATGTGTACATCTACATCATAGTACTTTGACTTATAGTTATGAAAATTCATTTTTGGAATAGGCGTACCATATACCGATGCATCTCGTAGGTACATAGTGATACTTTAAATGTACATTTACATGTAGTTGCACAGCTCCAATTTTAGTGTAAAAAAATACACAATTGTGCCCAGTATTTTAAGCTCAACTATATGTCCAGCAGCTTTAAGTGTCATGTAATTTTCATCTACTACATGTTAATACAATTTAGGGTTAGTTATTGCAGTTAGTAGCAGTAGCAATAGCAGTTACTATGTACAGTAGTACTGTAGCACTTGTAGCGGTACTACATGTATACGTATGTACATGTAGTATTCAGTTTTTGACCACTGGCACGGTAGCAGTCGGCTAAGTCTTCACGCAACGTACTGGCAAAATGATTTAATTTCAATGAGCATGAACACTGTTTTGAATCACTTCTTAGGAGAGTTTTGAACTGTAGTTGGAATATGCAAGCCTTGCCGTCAAACTTTCAGTGTTGTTCCTGTAACTTCGACACTTTTAACTACTCTGATGTCTCTACCTTCTGCTTACTGTATTTATGACAGACGTGCAGTGTAACACCTCCCTTATGTACAGTAAAATAGCCGTCTGTATTCTGAATTGCCCTCCGTGAGGATTTTGCCAGGACATTGGCAGTTCTTCTAGCTGTAAAAGACCTATGTTATATGGAAGTTTGGTGGTGAATGCCCCCAGGTAGGTTTAAGTCCGGATCAGAGGGTAGCTGGTGAGGTATGACCAGTAGCGCCGTGAAATGCGGCCCGAGGCACGTAATATACGTCGTACGCTGTAGTAGCGTGCTTAAGGTTTTTTAAGGACACTGAGGGCTTTGGGTCAACGTCACATTAGGTCAAGAAAAGTCACTGATTTATAAGGTCATAACTGTTACATTGTATAGTACATCTGTTCATCTGTGTTGGTATACTTCATTATAAAAACACTAAGCGTTCTGTCCAACACTAAGGGGTAAGTCCCAATTTACTTAGTGTTGGACAGAAACTTTAGCCTTTTTGTCATAAAGGAGTTTTTGGCGTTGTTTTTATTTCATGATTGAAACTATAAAATTATTCTGTAGTACAGTTACTGTAGAGATACAATGATTTTCAGTGTCGTGAATTTGCAAAGAAGGGGTCACCATAAAAACACAAAATAAAACCTATTGTGAAAGTTTCAGGACAACTTTCCGCGGTACAAGCCGCACATCAAGTCCCAAAAATATGACTGCAGTAGGGTGTGTGATATTCTCCCTGATAACTTTTAGGACTCATAGCCCTCTTTGACACTATTTCTTGCTTATTGAGGGACAAATTCTGTGGTTATAGCATCACAATAATAAGTAAAATTTGAAGTTTTTAAAGATTTATGAAGGATTATAAGGTTCTTCCAAAAAGAAACAGCCCTACACTGGATGAAGATACTAGTAGTGTAGGGTACTAAATCACAGTACTGCCCAGGGTCCAAATCAGTGTAGGGGGCCCCTATGATCAAACCTAGTGCAGGGCTCGAAATACCATGGGTGCATATATGCACCTTAGTGTACCCAAAAATGGATCTGTGCACCCAATTTTTTCTATGGGTGCACTGGTGCACCCAAATACTTTTGTAGATATGTTTGGACATATTAAATGCATAGGATAAGAATAGGAGTACAGTTGTAAGATCAGACTCATCTGTAATTAGGTTTTATTTTACATAGTACACCCAAAAGATTTTTTGTGCACCAAATTTTTTAGCTTGGGTGCACCAGTGCACGTATTCCCCCAAAAGAATTTCGAGCCCTGTAGTAAGAACCCAGTCTCATTGAGTGTGTACATGTACATGTAGATGTCACAAGGACACTACTGTAACAACAATTTGCTTTTAGAATTTCAACATGTTTCATCTGACAGCCAATGTCTAGAGTGCCAGTCATCTTTGGCGAAATGATACACAGTAAGGCCTTGAGCCAGCAGGCAGTCTATTATACAACTGTCACATGCATGAGAGTGCTATATCATCATCCATCTTCTCCTTTTTGTCTAAGAGACTTCAAACACACAAAGAGACTTTAGACAGTGCTACTGATACCAGGGAGACTTGAAGAATTATAACACAAAAATGAATCACTGGATGAATGGGTGGATGAATGGGTGGATGAATGGATGGATGGTTGGACCCAAGAAAAGCCAAGGCCAAAATACTTGGTATCATCCCAAGAACATTTACAAAAAAATGTACATTGTAGGGATATAAATTCTTTTCAATTTTAATTTTAAAATTTTAGACAGTCAATTCTATATACATGTATCATCATGATATAAAATGTATTACTA